TAGAAATTCATATCAAAAGTTCTAGCTAGTTAGTTTTTTGCAGATCTGGCAGTTTAGATGAATGCACAGTAAACTTGAAAATAATTATGAATTGAATAGTAGTGATAAATAGATAATGAAGAAATAGAAAAAGATAGTAATATTGAAAAAAAGACAATCTGCCTTTTGTTTAAGAATATTTTGATGGAATCTAACAGATGAAAATGCCACTCATCATTTTACGATCATGAGAAGAAAGACTTTCATTAACTGTTAAAATTGTAGTAGAAAAAGACAGTTGAATCTCAGCTAATTTGATTGAGTTCAATTTCAATAAACATTCTCACATATTTGTTTGATTGGTCATATTTAAATACCCTTGAAAATTGTCTTAACTGTATCTGTTTGTCAGCAATCTGTTCAATATATGAGATAAAACTATGATATCAGAAAAAAAAGTCGTTAGTATTATCCCTAAGGTATTCATGTGCAACACGATGGAGCTGCTCTTGCTAATCATAAGAATATTGTTTTCTTCTATCTACTATGGAACATATTTCTTCATCATTCATTTACTTGCCCTTCTAGGAATACTATAAGGAAGCAGTTCTATTTTATAATGAGATGCTTTTGAGATACGATCTTTAATCACACAGCAACAATGTCTACCACAGTCTGCAAAGAAAATGGATGCAAATTTCTACCCTATAGACTTCAACATTCCGTGTGCATCGTGTTTTACAAAAATACATAGGTCAGGTCGTTTCACTTTTTCAGGGAGGCAGACTTATGAGGAAACTTCTTCAGATGTCCCCTATCTATTTCAATGATTTTTTTTACCTTTAGATACTACACAGTGATCTAATCAAAATACCAAATAGATTTGGGTTCCTTTTGATATTTGACTAAGCTATCGAATTTTGATCTGAAGCTGTGTGCATATAGACAACTCAACCAAACTAACTTCCTTAAAAAAAGTCACAAGTTTGGAACTAATTCTCTTCGAGATATAAAGCTGTCAAAAACTGCATGTTATATTTACTATCTGTCGAAAAGAGTATATATATCTTGAAAGTCTCATATGTCGAAGAGACTGTTCAAAACCTCTAAATTCTTTCATGATAGCTAGTATAGATGAGTTCTCCGAAAACTTGAGACTTCCCGAAAAGAATTCGATATCTTAGCTAAATCTTTATACGAATCCAACTCTTTCTAGGGCTTGTATCAGAACACTATATAGTATCTAGAGGCAAATAAATCATTGGAATCGAAAGAAGATAGCAGAAGAGATTCCGTCGTTAATAGCTTGCTTTAGAGCTCTGATGCATATACATATATCTTAAAAACCATTAATTTCAAAAAGTTTCTCACCTTTTACTCGGATCATACATAAACATAAAATTAATGAGACGTAAACCAGCATTAGATAACCATGGAAATGTTTGTTTAACATTATTATATGGTTGTTGACGTAAAGAAAAATTTTTTAATGAAGGTAAATCATTTAAACCGGGCCAAATTTTTTCTGTTGGTGTACCAAACATATCAATAATTAAATCAATTTGTTGAATTTCTGAACGACCTGGTAATAATGGTCGATGACATAATAATTCACCAAGAACACAACCTGCTGACCAAATATCAATAGCTGTAGTTTGATATTTAGAACCTAACATAAACAGATATTAATAGTTATTGTTAATAAAAATATATATCATCATACCAAAAAGAAGTTCAGGTGCTCGATACCAAAGTGTAACAACCATCGGTGTCATTGTACCATTTGGTAATGTAAATTGTCTTGCTAAACCAAAATCAGCAATTTTTAAACAACCACAATCAGTTAATAATAAATTTGACACTTTAATATCACGATGTACAATAAAACGTTTATGTATATAATTTAAACCCCGAAATAATTGTAATGCAATACATTTAACTTGTGCTTCAGTAAATGGTTGTGACATATGATCAAGTAAAGATGCAAGATCTTGTTCACAATACGTCATAACAAGAAATATTGAACGTAATGATTTGCCAACAGCTATTTCACGTAATTCAACAATATTTTCATGACGTAAATTAAGTAAAAGATTTATTTCACGCATTGAACTTATTGGTAAACCCCATTGTTCATTTTCCATTCGAACTTTTTTTAATGCAACAATTTCTTGACTAACCTTATCTCGGCCACGATAAACTACACCATATGTACCTTTACCAATACAATTTAATTTTTCAAATTCAGAAACCGGTCTAAACAGAATTGAGAAATTCACTTTTTCGAAAAAAACAATGCATACTAAGCGGTTCAAATCAAGTAACAGTTATGGCTTGGGATAAAATTATACGCAAAAATAATTTATATCCATCAAAATAATTCCGAGGCAGAAACAGCAGACTTTAAACACAGAGACTTCAAATTTTCAAGTAACTTTTGGATTTTATGACTGAGATCTCTGTTGGTTGCCTCTCGACTACCATTCCTCCTCTCTGAATAAATAGCCGTCGTATATCATAAGGCATAATAGAAGGCTCATTCGCCATTTTTTAACGAATTTTGTAGTGCTTATGGTAGAACATTGTTAAAAGGTAAAAGTAAAATTTTCAAGTTATCGATTGCTCTCGAAATCGACATTGACAGAACTCCTTTTGCTAGCAAAGTGTTTATAACTAATAAAGTATTTCGAAAAACAAGAGATTTATTCAACAATCGAAGTTAGTAAAATTCAAGGGAGAAAAAGCGAGACTTTGATACATCGAAGTACGAGTGAAATATCAATAAAGTACAATACCTCACTCGTGCTTCTGAATACCGAAGTGTCGCTTATTCACTCTGGGTAAAACTCCATATTTTAGCCGTCATTCAAACCACGCTACGAACAGCCATGGAATGATTCTGGGCAAGTCACTAGCGTCTATTTGTCTTGGGTCATCTGTTCGATAGCTTACTGACTTCGTAGTGACATATTCCTCCGCTTGTGGTCAGTCAATGTGTATGAGGAGCTCAAGCGATTGAGCGTAAGAACTCTGCTTCAGGGCGATTTTCTGCCCACAACTGCAGTTATGATTAGTTATAGGGAATGTTATCGGGCAGCACCATACATCACAAGGTAGTTGAAAGAAAGAGATATTCTTCCTTCCTTCTTTTCTTTTCATATTTTATGTCCAATTAGAACTTAATGAGCCGTTTACAAAAGCACATTATATAAAACAGAATATTAGACATCATGAGAAGAACTTGATTATATGTCACAGAAAGAATTCAAGCTTTTAATAAGATTACATTCTATGGAACCTGCAGTTTTGTAACTCGAAAATTTTGATGCCACTGGAAAACCTGTACCACTTTGGTTATACTCATACATAAACCCACACCCAAATCAATCAAATGTACTTCTTATCGCTAATATTGCAGAGTATTTTTCCAACCAAACATTTTATTAAACTTCTGAGTTTTCGATAAGTTTTTGAAAGAAATATTTTTACACGGTTTTCTAGTAATGACATTGCTCTTGCTAGCAAGAAAACTATCCAATATCCATGATGAGTGACTATCACACTGTTCTGAAAACAAAATCAATGTGCAACTTTTGCACAATCCATTATTCTATGTATGTAATTCAGAGATACCTGTGGCAGAGCTGTCATTACCGCAAAATACAACTTTTTATATAAGTCACTGCGTTGCGATGACTATATTAGGTTAACTTCAATTCATATTGTTTGAACATCTTGTCTTAACTCTAATAAATCATAAATAAATTTCAAACATGACTAATGTCTTACCTACAAGCACCAAAAAGACAAGAATCAGGAATTGTTATAGGCTGATCTGTAAGCATTGAATAAATTGTTGTTTTGGTCTCTTCATTATTATTAGTAGTATTATTATTACTATTATTTGCTTCCGATGAAGACATCTATGTATATATGTATATTTCTAAAGTAAAAATAAGTTACATCTATTGTTATTATTCATTATCTGTCTATATCAATTGAATCAATCAAAAATGAAAAATAGATATATTTTTCCGTTGGTCAGTCTTATAACTGAAGCCAACATTCGCAATGGGTCGGTTTTATTCCGAAAATGCATCCATCACACATATAGGTATATCTGTCTAATTCTACATGGATACGTTTTTTTTTCTCGGGCTGATTCGAACAGAATAGAAAAAGTTACACATATAGATAAAGTTAGCACAAGAAGAAAAAAAAGAACAACAAAATCTTTTTTTTTGTGTTTTTGTTTTTCAGAATAGAATAGTTCGCAATCATATGAGAAAGAGCCAAACAAGCAACAATGAACGAAAAGAGAAGAAAAAAAAAATGAACACACGCACGCACACAAAAAAATAGAAAAAGAGAGGCATATGAATGCCAATATATGTACATAAGAGTGAGAGACAAGAACAAGTCGAACTGTCAAGAAATCTAGAACCAATATATGTATATATTGCACACAGGGTCGAGTAGAAAAAAATCAAACATATGAAATAAGGCTCTAGGAGTAATGGAATAGGATGTTTCCATCTTCGTAGGTTCACTGAAAAAGCACTAAAATAAAGGAAGAAAGAGTTGAAGAACAAAAGAAGGCGCGCGCACGCAAAAAAGAAATTACTGATATTTTTTATACGTGTTTACAAAAAAAGGTCTTTTTTAATCTTTTTTTGGTTTAAATTTTTTTAAAAAATTTTTTCGATTTTTTTTTTTTTTTGTTTTTTTTTTCTAGTTAGCTGTATGAATAGATCAAGAGTGTTTTTTTTTTTTTGGCATAAAGAAAAAAAAGACAAAAGAAGAAAAAGAAACTGAATAAGAAGAAAGAAAGACATGAGTGGTACGCGTTGCTGAGCCGAGAACAAAAGAAGATGAATAAGCAATAGATATGTATGAGAAGATGAGAAAAAAAAATAAATAGAAATTAAAGGGAACCGATAACATCAACAAGATATATTTGACTGGGTTATATCATCACCATCATTTATATTGTTACAGTTCTTTTATTGACACCGTTTTTCCTAGTCTTGAGCATTTCGATGATCATCATCGACAGATCTACAAAAAGAAAATTATTATTTTAATTAGAATATATAAAAAACAAACAGAATATTTTACCTTTGATGATTCGTCCGTTGTGATTGAGGTCGATGAAATAAACTATGTGATGCATATAATTGTTGTTGAAATTGTATTTGATAGGGATATTTTAGTGAATTTCCATTTGGATATTGTATCAATGGTTTATCCATTGGACCATAACTAAAATTTTGATGTACATGATCAACTTCTTCAAAATCAATTGCACATAATGGAGACATGCAGAGTAAACTGTTTTTGTTCTCTGATTGAGAAAAATTGACTAATCTCCATCCTGTCTTGTGAAGCCTTCTGATGTCATTTGCAAAAAAACGCGTTCTGAGAATTGCAGCAAATTCGAAATTCTTTTCAATTTCCATACATGAGTACGAAAACGTTTTTTTAGTTTTGTAACAAGCCTAAAGAAGTTCTTAGGAGAAAGTGTTCATCACATTTTTCTTTTAATTCTACACTGGTTGGGAGACTCTAAAAGCGATAAATAGCACAATAGTATCACGTTAGAGATGTACAGTTTAAACTAGGAAACAACCTGCTGTAAAAATGAAAAATTTCCTCGAAAATCTATCCGAAATTCAATAATTTCCAAAAATGTTTTCGACCGAGCGTTTGTGTACCTCTAATGATCCTTTACATCTCTAAAACATAGTTATAATTTTGAATGCACAATTTTGTACAGAAAAAGCAATGGTCGATTTTTGGTTGACATGTCATAATACAAATGCGGTATTGGTATTGCGTTATGTATGTCACATAGTACTCTTGAAAAAGTCCTATTAACTCTTGTTAGTTTAAGAGTTCGATAAAAATGGATAAAACATTATTTAAGTAAAAAAAGAAAAGAATGAAAGATTTTAAATCTTTTTTTCCTCTTCATATGAATGCTTCATCAAATAAATCTACATACTTCAATCGACTATGTTGAACTTGTCGAGCTGGTCGTTGTTCATTTTGATGATCACGATAAATAGACCGTAGTCGTCTTCGATAGATCAATGTACTCTCACTGACAGTAAGAATTTTTGAAAGTATACTAAAATAATATATTAACATACATGAATAAAAAATGATATGATATTCAATTTTTTTTAATATTATTTACGAAGGTGCATTCTTTAATGTTGTATTTTGATCAGACACGCTTTGTAATAATTTATCAAATGCTTCACGAAATGCTGAATTAAGTTTTGGTGTTAACCATGAAGCTTTACTAATATCATTTTCTAAAGATTGGAAAACATATATTATTAAAAAAATGAAGGTTTTTTTTTGTTTCTTTCACATACTATCATTAAATGGATCAACAATACATAAATTACTAATTGTACGATGTCCACAACAAAAATTTTTAAATAATTCTTCTTTATCTATAAAACCGGCTGGACGATCAGGTTGATGTGGTGTTTGTACACGAATGCCCAATTTAGCATAATTAAAATAGACACCATATAATTCAAGAAAACTAATAAGCATATGACCAAGATTGGCATGTTCAATCGTACTATTATTACTACTTGTTGTACAACTGTTACTACTACTATTACTACCACCACTAATACCATTATTGAAATGATCATCATCAAGATCACTGTTATTGTTACTACAACTATTATTATCATCTGATGATATACATGAAGCAGCTGATGATGATGGATATGATGTTGAAGATGAACAATCATCTGTTGTACTAATTGGATTTCCATTTTTTAATGATGACGATGATGCTGTTTTAATTGTTGCTGATGATGATGTTGATAATCCAGATAGAAATGAAGATGATAATGATGATGACCAAAATGAATGTTGATCTTTTTTATAATAAGTCTATTGAAAAAAAAATGCAATTTAATCATTAGCAATGGGACTTCACAAAATTAAAATATCGATGTTAAGTTACTTCTAAATATCCTGAAAAACTTTGCGCACAAGATTTATCAGTAAAAACTGCGTTAAATCAAAGAAACAAGAATATTTCTACCTTCCGGCTACCTTGCACTAAGGAGTACTGTCTAGCGGTCGATATCTTTTCTACACTTAAGAATAGCTACAAGAGTAAGAACATATCATACCGTAGTCATCATGCTATCGGATGGATGATCCGAAACAAAGAGCCGATAGTGACTTGTCAAGGGTCATCTCACAGCTGATACTACCAAGGTTGGAATATAGTGCTTTATAGATATGTGTTGAACTGCGTAGTCACTCAGCCATAGTGACTGAATTGAGGCAAAACTAAATCGTACATCCTGTAGACAATATTTGAAGCTAAAAAATTTCTATTCAACTTTTTTTCTGAATATGTCACAAATTTTGTGATGCACAATCTGAAAAGAGTATTGAAGTATATAGAAGAATCATTTGTATCCACTCTTCCTTTTCTACAGAGCACACAAGACATTGCTGATACTCGATCAAAGATTATATATTGATAATGTCTCGTTCTAATATACGAACTAATTCCTTATTGGATTTCTAGAGGACTAGAAATATCGTGCAAACATGTGTCTGACAATAGATAGAATCGAGCAGTCGTCTTATGATTAACAAAAGCAGCTATATCGTGTTCGCATTTTAATCTTTCAGACATTGTGCTAACAGTTTTTTCAAAAAAATCAATTTACTTTTTGTTAATGCTGTGACAGAGGACGAAAAAAATGCTTTTAAAACTGAATGAGAAGTTCAAAAACTAATGCCAACTGGTATAAATTCTTCTTCAGAATCTCTAGATGATAGTAAGACCGGGCTGAAAACTTTATCAAAGGTGCAATTCATACCATATAGCCTATTTTGAAGTTGTGAGATTTTTTCTCATATGATTAGACATTATTTAGAAAAATAACCCTTGCCAAGAATTAAAGTCAAGCAGAAAGTGAATATGTCGCATGGTGCTCCAAATAGCTTTTATAGTAGTTTATGATTTTTGTTTAATAGTTTACCTGGAAAAAACACACCAACATAAGAATAAGTGAATAACTACTAATACCACCTGTCCATACTTCATTGAGATTAAGTTGTAGTAAATATTGTTTTAATACATAAACGAGATATTTCAATGATGGATACACTTCCAAATAATGCTAGAAAAAAAAACAACTTTTCCTACAGATTATTAAAAGAAAAGAAAAACATACGAGAATAAGTTGAGCACTTCGAAGACCATTATTCATATTAAAACTCATATCTACTTTAACATCAGTTCGTCGATCAGTTAATTTAATAATTGGTACTGTTGCTCCATTTAATAATTGAATGCCTTCTTGTGTACATATACGATGACGACAAAAAGCTTCACGTAAAACTAACATTAATGCTTCAAGTTCTTCTGGTCGCCATTGACGACCATCTTTTGAATGAACAATTAAATCAATATCACTAAAAAATAACAAAATATTCTTAATTACATTTTGAAAATTTTTTTTTCTTTAACCTCATCGGTAAATACAAGCCAGTTTTATAACTGCCATAAATATCAACCTAATATGAACAATAAAAATAATATTTTTGTTTTTTTTCTTTTCTTCATTTTCTTACAGATGCTGTAGGTAAATATTGATTAATAACATTAGTTATACGATTAATAACTTGTTGTCGTACAGCATGTTCTTCTTCAGTTGGAATCATAAATTGATAAAATTGTAAAATTTCATAATGAAGACGATAGAGACGAACGGACATAAATGGTGGTGCACTAAAAAGAAACAAAAAAATAAATAAATATTTTAAAAAAAATTAAGTAATATGTAAACTAACGTCATAAGATCGAAAAGTTCGACAGGTATTTGTGTATGTCTCCATGGTGGACATACATTTCGTTGATCCAATTGCATTGGTGTACGTCGTAGAAGAAAACGATCGTGTAGATAGACACTTCGATCGTGCATCGTTTTCTTTCTTGAATACTTTTTTTATCGATCGATGACTTGTCACTAAAATAGCCAGTTAATATATTTAAGAAAAAAATTTCGAATGTTTCTCTCGATGTATACCAATTCGTTAAATAACTTGTTTACGAATGGAAATGCTAGAGATAGAAAGAAAGAAAGAAAAACATAGTTAAATCGAGGGTTCAAACAATATAACGAAAGGGAGTGAACGATATACTCGAACATTATTATTTCTTCGTACATTATATGTGTCTTCGAAAATGACATACGAATAAGAGAGAAAAAGCAAAAGAAGAAAAAGAAAGCAAGATATCCTATGAAAGGATTATTTGTAGACACAATAACAAGTTGACTGATAGTAGACTGCAAACAACCGCAAACATACATAAAGAAAAGATTTTTCTAGAGAAGAGTAACAACACGTGTGTTTAGATATAAATGCATAGTGGTTAAGTTAAATTGATGATTGGTTCAAATTCGTCCAATCAATAACAAGGTATTATTAACAATAAATAGAATAAACAAGCAAAATAGGTATTTTTCGAGTATATTTTTGCTTGTAAAGAATAACGATCGTTATTACTTATGATAGTATGATGTTTAAACAAAGAGAATTCAATTACAAAAAAAGTTATTTTTAGTTTCACTCAAAAATAGTACTAGAACAAATATACACATACAGTTTAAAGCAGTGTCAATCGAAATTTCTAGAACAATATATCACTTGACTGAACGTAAAGAACAAATTATGTCGTAACTAATAAACAGATATAACATAGAAAATGATCGTTCTCTTTGAAAGTTATCATCATTTTCATACAAAATGTAATCATCTTCATTTATTTGATATCAATCACAATATATTCACAGTTGATGATCTAAAAACCTTTATACATTTGTATAGTTAATTCTCTTGGTGATTTCTAAAAGTCCTTAAAATTTCGTTAGTCAAAAGTTTTTGTTACAACTTTTAAAAAACCAATCTACTGTTAGTAGATATTAAATCTTCAATAGATAAATATAAGTTAGTTAAAGCAAAAGCTTATCATATTACTTGTGTTGAGCATCGTTGTATAACCACGTGAATAAGGAAAGAAGAAGATTTATCGATATTTTTTTTCTTAACTTGCCATACAATAGTGACGAGAAATTTTCAAGACAAAAACAATAATACACATCTATTCTAACTTATTATGAATTTTTAATAAATAAACAAGAAAATGTTGCACTTTTCTGTAGTGAATAAAAATTCTTTTGATAAAATTTTATTTTTCACTAAACATACATAAAACGACAAAATAGACTAACGCGAACGAAAATATGATCTTTGAGATATGACGTCATTTTCAACATTTCTAAAAGCCCATTGATGATCAACCACAAGTAAACCTTCTCGTTCTGCTTTAAATGCTTTTGATGAATCTTGTGGCATTGATACAGCGGCCATATTCATTTGATCTTGCATCATTTTTGTTTGATCAGCTGCATTATTTTCTCCAAGAAGTAAATTATTGATACCACGTTGACCAAAGATATTGATAGCATACCAAGAAACAGATGATAACCTAATTGAAGAAAAAATAACAATTATATTTTCAAATAATACGATAAAAGTCCTTTTACTAACCAACTAGCATCGAGTGTTGCCAATTCAACACCACGTTGTAACATTGGTTTAAAACGATATGTTAATGGAAAAGGCACTTTAGCTAAAAACAAATATTGAAAAAAGTTTTTAAGTTTATCTGATGAGGAAACTTCTGAAGATGTAAAAACACTGTTCGGTCGAGACAATGTCCATTTCATTAGTTATAGAGATTAATAGAAAAGTCTGGAATGACATTGGTTTTTTGGACATTCATTTTTGAGATATCGAAGTTTTACTGGATTTTTCAACAGAAAGTTATGATATTCCTAATCGAGTTCAACCTTTGCACGAACAAAGTTCTTAATTAGATTAGTGGATTGTGAAATTTATATTACCTTTCTGGAGTTGTAAATTAGGATAGGAAATACTAGAAAAGTTAAATCTGGCATAATTAACTAATCTCATCAAGAATGTTGTTCATGCATAGCTCTAAGTTGATTGAGAGAAGCACAGCTGTTTGTTGAAACACTCAGTGCAATTTCGATATTTCAAGAACGAATGTCCGAAAAACCAGACCATCCTAAACTTTTCTATCATTCACTAGTGCTCATCCAATGAACTTTGTCTCAGTCGAACTTCTTCGCGAGTTCGAAACTTTTTTATCAAGATTTTATGTTCTACGAATTTTTCTCATCGAGCTATACTTGTCCATCTTGCACGTTTGTTTACACTATTCCCGATAGGAGAACAATTATCGGTTTACCATAATAGAATGACGGTGAAAAGATTAAGTAACAAAGCGCCGTCGGTCGATTAGTGATATATCGGCGGTTCTTTGTTATTATGGATAAATGTTTGTTTCGATTACATAGAAATTCTCTTAGCGATTATTAATGCTTTCATGTCGCTAATTGGGAATACAATTTAGAATTAAGGGTTTATCGTCATGCTTAACAGAAAAAAATTTAGATCTACTGCATTTCTAAACCCTTCATTTTTCATATTATCTCTTAAGATACATACTACAAAGAAAACCACTAAATGCCCAATTGATAACACCACCGATGACAATCATAGGAACCATATTTGATATATTATTTTTAAGCATTTCAGTCATCATTGTTGGATCTAAAATATTAATTTTATTGATAATTTTATGATTTTTATTATTACCAGTAATTGGATTTCGTATAGGTTGTTGTCGACCTTGTTGTTTAGTAAGATAACCATTTTCTTCATTAACAAAAAAATGTTTTCGCATAACAAAACCCTATTTGAAAAAAACAAAATATTAATATTCAAAACAGAGAAAAAAATCTATTCGAAATTAAATCAAACCTCTTTTGGAATATATTTTCCATTTTCACGTAAGATTCTTGTTCGAATAAGTGCTTGACTAAAATATACATAAGAAAAATAAAAATTTTTTTAAAAGAATTATTGATAAAAACAAGAGACAAGATATTACCTATCAGCTAATTGTTGCTTGTCAATAGGTTTTTCGCCAGCTGTTATTATTGAAATATAATGTCGTAGCATACCAACAAAAAATGTAATGACAACAATTGGCATAAATACCCAAAATCGAATAGCTGAATCGAGTAGTAATTCGACCATTATGTTTTATTTATAATATAGAAAAAACAAATATCTGAAACAATACGAATGAATATTTGTTTTTTTACTGAAAATATAAATTTTAAGTTCTTGAATAATGATATCAACTTGAAAATGATATATACATTCTACTTAAACTCGATCTAAAGTTCATTGATTTTGTCATTCAATAAATTGATTTTTCATCATAATTCGATTCATTATTTTTTTTAAACAAAGTGAACTTTTCTCATCGAGCTGAATAGTCTGATAAATCTCATCAAAACCTTGAAAGACATTTGGCATGAATAATCAATAGATATTTGTCTTTCTTGCTCAACAATAATTATTATTGTTCTCCATTCGTATATGAATAAGGATCTTCATCATCAAAATATTTTTCTTCTTCATCACGTTCACGTATTTTAATATCATCAAGATTTTCATTATTATCAATTGATGTATAATCAATATTAGAATCTTCACCATTAAGAAATCTCTCTAAAACAAAAAAAAAATAATTGTTAGAATAAATTAAGAAACATTGCGATATCGTTTTTGTAATAAGTATTTATTTATGTAACTCATGTTCATGAGTTTTGAAATATACCTTAATCTAATACGTAAGCTGTCAGACCAACTACTGATAAAATGATCCTATAAAGAGACTATTAGTTTCTCTAATATACCAATGCTATGATCAGATCCATCAGATATTCTACTGCTCGCGTTCGATAGTTTTAGTTACTCCAGTGTCAATGGAGTAGAAAAGGAATAGTAAGACATAAGGAACATTGATTTCTTTTCTTTTATAACTGAATCCATGTTACACGTTACTTCGCACAACTGCTCGTATGTCACGATACAATAATGGTCAAAGGATGGGCTACCAGTTAAGTATCAAACTACTGCAGCTTGTATCTTATGATATTGAAGTTATGAGAAAAAGGACCTTGCCAAACGATCATTAAGTTTTCTTTAAGGCATTGTATAACTACTGAAAATACTTCACTCATAATAGTTGTTACTTAAACTTCTCATGTAATGAAGAAAGGAGTCCGTGAGATTGGAGTATGGATAAGTGAGCATGATAAAGATATGCACACTCACACCTATTTACACACTAAAAAGACTAATGAGATTAAGAGTATTAAAATATTCTTATAGCTTGAAAAGATGTGTCAGCATAAATGTAAAACGGATAAATTTGGTTTCTTGCTAATCTATATACCGAAGATCTATATTGCTTGAAAGTTAGAAAATATTTTCTTAAAAAGATTCAATTTTTTTCGTTTTTCTGTACTCATCGATTTTTTGAGTTCAATATTTTGGGCATGAAGCGATATGTACCATTTAGTTTCTTATTATTGATCTACAAATCGCCACGCCAGTCACCAGTGAGGCAGTACAAAAGTAAAGATTGGTTCTTCATTGCTAATATAGCTTTGAACTGTCCTTTACCAATTGCCATATAAATGACGAGTTTTCGTTATTAATTAGTACTTACATTAAGCCCAACTCTCGGAATCTTTCATAGAAAAAGCGCGCTGCAATTACTGTTTGTATACAAAATTCTTCTAATGACAATGAGTACTTTCTCGTTCTAAAGATGCTGAAAGTATGAGTCATGAGCCTCTAACATCGCTAGTTTTAGATTATTTTAATTGGAGAAAAAAAGTCTTGATGAATATGAGAAAATTTGTTTTGCGTTTTTCTTAAAATCAAGTTTTGAACAAAACAAGCGACGCTTTCTTCGACACGGTATGTCTGATCGCGCTCAAGTTTTTTTAAAATATTTTGGTCATCTTAAGATGGATGTTTCATTTCTTCAAAATATTATTCCTGTGAACTGCCATAGCCTTTAAAAAATTCGTAAGATTGAAAAAACAAACGTGCACTTCGACTTGATCCTAGTTGTGATTGAAAAAGTACAGCTCGAAAAACTGAAATACATAGTTTTGCGGAAAGGAAAACCTTTGGCCATTTTTGACCTTTGTGATCCCCATATCCCCCTGAAGAAAGTATCTGAGAATTTTAAGCCTACGACAACTAATGGTGTATTTGTCAAGATCTATCTGCTTTAAAATTTTTATCATTTTTCGTCGAGTTGTTACTGAGAAACTCTAGAAAGTAAGAGTTCGTACGTCTTCTAATATATCTTTATACATTAGAAAAATGATTAAAATACAATCGTGTTCACCTTTTTGAATAGCAAGAAATTCTTGTCGATATAAATTTCTTTCTGTACTTGAATATTTTTTTTCATTTTCTTCATCATTTTCATCATCATCATCCTCTTCATCATCACTTTCACTATCATTATCATCATCATGACGTAAATGTTCTTCATTTTCATATTCTTTTTCAACTCTTTCTTGATGATTAATTGCTTCAAGATGTTCCATATAAAAATCAGCTAATGGACCATTTGCTGTTCTAGTGACTAATTGATTTGTTTCATCACCCCTATATTTTTCAATCATTTGTTCATATAGTAATGGTGATCGTTCTTTCATGGCTTCATCACTAAAATATGAACCATCAGCAAGTAATTGTTGCATATATGTATAACGACGATTAGCACGTAGTTTATGACGATTTGAATGTAATATTTGACATATGTAATCAGCATTTGAATCAAAATTTTGTTTTATTTCATCATCAGTTAATAATGAACCAAAACGATATATAAAATTAGCTGGATTTGTTTCATATAAATGGTTAAGAATTTCATGTTTTTGTTCATATGTAAAATCTGGTTCATTACGTTGTTGTGAAGCAATAACAACATTACTTGAACAAATTCGATCAAACATAGATGTTAGACTCATCTAGAAAAAGTTATAAAACTGAAACAAAACATCACAGTATAAATTTATTCGAAATTATTTTTTAATAAATTCTTCAGCTTTTCGAAGTATATTTTGTAAATTTTCATGTTTAACTAAATTACATGAATCATTTAAATTTGACCAACTTAAATCTTGATGTTCATCAGATAAATGTATTTTTTGTTGAGCATTCTTAAGACGTGCTAAATAATAATAAACATCTTTTGGTTTTCCATTCACATTATATGTTATTTTTTCTTCGAATTTATCATAATATTCTAAATCATTTTTATCTAAACCAGCTTCTTCTTTTGTTTCACGTTCAGCTGCTTGTAATGGTGATTCATCATTATCCAAATGACCTAATCAAGGCAAATATAGATTAATTTGAAAGTTAGAAAATGTCAATCGGAAATAGTTTTTTAGAATCAATCACAATGATCTAGACAAATGATTAGTATAACATGAAATAGTCAAGCTAACGACAGAACTAGCGGAACTGATATCTCCCGTTTTGCACTCATATGGAACTCACAAAAAGATTTCTGAGAAACAAGAAAAAATCCTAAAGAACTTCTTGCCCATGAATCTTTGAAGCCAAATTATGATCGTTTTACTGAACTTTTTGATCTTGAAATTTGGCCCAAAAGATAGAACACAACCTGAAAAGAGCGTATAAGTATAGTGCTAGAAATCCGGACTTTATTCCTTTTTTCAAGATAGATTTTGCACGTAAAAAAACAGAAAATTGAAATCTATCTTTAAAGCTGAAAAGTCAGAATTAAATAGTATCAGTTTAATCGATATTATTCTGATTTTCATCAAAACTTGTTACTTGACTTATGCTTCTTGCAACCTGTAACAATCAGAAATCATTATTATGTGAACGCTTTGAAACGTTTCATTTAGCCAATAAATAAAAACGGCGCAATTATTCGGTTCAATGACACTCTTTATCTACACACAAGCTTGAATAGACTATCAAATGGATTAAATGGCAAAGGTTTTACTGACCTGGAACAATGTAACTAAAAATAGTAATCGATCTGAATGCTTGAAATTGATCAGGGAGCATGTTACTCGTAAGATCTTATATTAATACATGATAAACTTCAAGAAGTTTCAGTACTCACAAACTCATCTTGCTCCTTCGGTTCAATGACTAATTCGATTTATCGCTTATGCTAGTTTCTCAAACATTAAAATTGTCCAACCTTACTAAACTCATGGTCACTATGATGATAAAATTTTTACAATGTTCTCATCAGTAACTGAGCAGTTGCGGAGTTTCATCACTTAGAAATCCTTTTTGTTAAAGAAATATACTTTAATAGTATTATTCTAAGTTAGGTCAGGACGACCTATCGAAGAGTAACCTGATAGCTACGACCGATTTATTTAATACAACATTGACAGATCGTATGTCGAATATAAGTAATATAATATGGTGCATCCAAAAAGTGCTTCTACCCAGTGACGAATTTAGAAGGACGATCGCCCCTCCCTTACGAAATATTTTTTGATTTTTGCTCTGCAAAAACACCCAAAAATGAGCCGATGTGACTTCCAATGGACTTCTAAACGCGAAAAATTTGAATGAACAATTATGAAATCTATCTATCTATGCAAACTTCTCAAATGCCTCGTTTCGGTTCGAATGAGTATTTGCTTATATATACTACATAGTATTCTAATGAGAAACCCAAAAAAATAAAATTTTCTACTAAGTTTTGCCTTGAAACGATTTCCATTTGAACTTTTCATATACAGAAGTTGCCCTAGATCCCAAATCTAATCTAGAGTTTTCATTAGACCATTATTTAGTACCTATAGGCAAAAATTCATTGAAATCAGAATGTAGGAAAGTTCCATTGTTAACAATAGCAATGATCTATCTTGTGTGAAAGCATAATTCTTCATGTGAACTATAGGTCTTTTTTTGTCTGTCGTCATTCAACAACAATTCAAACTTCAGTTTCAATCATATTTTTAAATTCTAACCTTTTGGTGGTGTCCAATGATGTTCACCATAAGAAGTTTGTAATAATAAATATTCAATAGGCTTTTGTTCGACTTGTCGAAATATGATAAATCCTGCAGCTGCACTCATATCTAAATATTCAAAAAAGAAAAACTTCTTTTCATGATATTAATCTATGTCTCACATATTATATGTTGTTTAGTTTTAGAACAAAACAACAACAACAACAGGCAAAAACAATATTTATTTTTTTTTTAGTAGAGACAAAAAAATGCGCATAATAGAGAAGTCATGAAGAACTACGAATAAACGAACAATCACACAAAAGAAAAAAAACGCGAAAGAGTAAAATTGAGACAAAAAAAAACAAAAATATAGAGAAAAATTTGTTGTTTATTTTTCAAACGAGAGAGAGTGAGCGAAAAATGGGAATAAATATGCTAACAGTTGATCAAGTTCGTTTTCTACTTTTGTTTCCCTAGATTCTTATTCGATCTTGACGGCAGCATAAATTTTTCTGACAAAGATATATGATGCAATAAAACCAATTGTACCCGTCAGAGTCCAAAATGTAAAACAGATCAAAAATGTATAACCAAAATAAAGCATTATTGGAATAACTTCAGTAATATCAAGCTAAAGAAAAAAAAAACAAGGTTTTATAATAAAAAAAAAAAAACATTTTTCTGTGAATAAAATTTTTCATTACTTTTGTGAAAAAATAAAATATTGAATAAGCAAATACATAAAATGCTGAACCTCCTGATGCAACAAATGATCGCCACCACCAATGATAATCTTCTCCACATAATTGAAAATAAGTTATGACAATTGAAATTTGTGAGCATGATACTAGATTGAAAAGAGAACAAATATCAAAATTTAATCATTATTTGTAATTATTCATAACTTACTTATTATAATAATAAAGACAAGAAAGAGAAAACCAAAGAGATAATAATATTGGTTTTCCCAAATGGCCGAAAAGATAAAGAATAATTCAATAAACATCGCACCAAATGGTAAAACACCTAATCAATAATGTATGCTATAGTACTGATCAAAAATATCAAGATCAAAGTGTTTTTGTTTTTGCTTACGAAATCAAGCAGTTAACTTAAATCAAAATATCGGTTTGAATAGTCAATGAAGTTTTCTATCAAATATATTCCATATTGAAGTTTTATAGCTGAAAAACCAAGCAAAGTAGTTTCTACATCTTAGAAAATTGTGTGAAAATGAGGTTTTACGAATTGCATGTTAAAAAGCACAAAATTCTCAGTAAGATGAGAGATTGTTGCATTTCCTGCAACCTTTTCTTAAAAAGTTATAAGTCACACAAAAGAATACATTTTTCTGCAACGTGGCCATGGCTCATTTTCTTCAGAATTTCGTTCTCTTTACCATGACACTCTTAAAAACTAATTTTCGGGAATCTTCCTTCCATAGTTCATGCATGAAATTTTGATATCGAATGTATTTGATAAAGAACTTCATTGGCTATTCAAGCTATTATCTAGATTTGAGTTGAATGCTTGATATTACAGAATATAATCAAAAACACATTGATCTTGTATATTTATCCGGCACTGTATTTTCGAATTTCTAATCATCATCAATTACTTACCAGCCATTAAAGTGCTAGAAAAAAAAAATAACAAAAAGACAATAATTAAACAATAAAAAAAAATCGAGTATCTTTTTTTTCGTTTACTTACCTTAATACTGGATGCAAAAACCATTGTTGTTCAGGTACTTGACGTGGAATTTGATTTGTTCGAACTGGTTGATCATACGGCTAAAAAAAATCTCATATGTATTTTTTTTATCATCATCTTTCTTATACTAACTTGTTTACGATAGCCAAAATAGAATCCAAAACAAACCAATGGAAATGAAATACCTAACCACATGACAAGTATAGAAAGCATAGTTGTAAATGGAACAGCACCCGATGAACGTTTTCCCCATATGAAAAAGTTGAGAAAAAAGCCAATACTAAATACAATTCCTGGATATAATGTAGCAGTCTATATGAAAAGAAAAATAAACTAAAAGAAGAAAAAAAACAAAAAGATATACTAAAGCTGCTGTTCGTTTCCAATTTGATCCTTTAATTGTCTTATAAATTCGACCCGCATAAAAACCCGCAATAAGACTAAGAAAATCAAATTAATTTCTTAAATTAATTTCTATAATGGTTTTGTTTTACCCCATAAATACATAAAGAAAACAAGCTGCTGTAATCAATGCACCACGTGATGATGGTGAAAGCATTCCAAGAGCACCAAAGACTTTTGAAAGAAAAAAAAAAGCAAAATTGCCTTTTATCTTTGACATTTTCTTTTCAATACAAACCGATAACAATCAATGACATTAAGAAGATTTGAATACCAGAACCAATAAGTGCAGCAAGAAAATTCTTACCACGTGGTGGTCGAAATACATCACCATGTACTCTGTAAAATTATCGAAAATATTTTTTTTTCTAAAGAAAAAAAAAAAGAAGAGTTTAAAACCTACAATTTCCAACCAGTTTCTTCAGTAACATCATCCTAAATCATAAAAAATAAATTTTTGTTTTTTAATTATTTAAATTTTATTTAATACTAACTGAATCCTCTTGATTATATCGTGCAATATCACGACGAAGTGTTTTAACAATAATCATTGATAATATACCAGCAAGAAAAAATACAACAATAACTGAATTAACAATGGAAAACCAATGAATTTGTACATCAGTCATTGCTAAATATGTATCCCATCTAAGAAGAAATAAATAGAATATAAATATTTGATTTACTGAGTTTTAGATAGATAGCACACTGTCGAATAAAGTTATAAATCTGTCACTCAGCTAGATTTCGCTCGCAATAGAATAGAAACGTAGTAGAGCATAAAATTCGTTTTTTAGTGCTTAGAATTTTTTTTTCAAATCCAGTATGAAAATTAAAAGCAGTGATCTAAGCAGTTTTTCTTACTCCATAAAATCATGTAGTGATTATGTTCATTTCTG